ACAGAACTGAAGCACAGAGACAAAAAGAATAGTATAAGAGATACATGGAATACGGTGAAGCAATTAAACATATTAATTAGAGTCATAGAAAGATAAGTATTAGAAAATGGGGTAGAAGCAATACATGAAGAGATAATAGTCAAGAAATTTCCAGAAGTGGTGATAGACATCATTTCAAACATTAAAGAAGTTCAATGAACCTTAATACACAGCAAGGATATATGCAGAGGATTAAGTAAGTGTATTGTAGCTGAACTGCTGACAAAGATAAAGTCTTAAAAGCAGCAAGAGAAAACAGGCACATTACTTTATCACAAAGGAACAATAAAGCAGATGACTATTGAACTGAGATTATGGGAGCCAAAAGACATAAAGTGCTGAAAGAAAAAAAATCTGTCAATTTTGTATCCAGATAAAATACCTTTAGAGATCATAGTAAAAATAAAGACTTATTCGGACAAAAGTTGAGAGAATCCATCAACAGCAGACCCACACTATGAAAAATATTAAAAGAAGTTCTTCAGGGTAAAGGAAAATGAACTCAAATGGAAGCACAGACCTTCCAGAAAGAAGAACAACAGGAAAGACAAGTATATGGGTAAAAATAACTGACTTTCAAAGTAGCAAGAATAAAATATATTGTGGAGTTTTATTTAGAAGTATTTAAAGTAAATATTTGCATGAATTATAGGAAGGAGGTGTATGGCTTAAATCATTATAAGGTTTTCATTTGGATAGTAAAAGGTAGACTGCAAAAAAAAATGTGCTAGCTTTAGAGTGGAATACAGCATGAAAACAAAATTCTAAGGTTAAGGTAGGCTGTAATAAGGAATTATATTGAAATATAGAGGTTGTTGTTCAGTTGCTCAGTCGTGTCCAATTCTTTGTGACCTTGTGGACTGTGGCACGACAAGCTTTCCTGTACTTCACCATCTCCCTGAGTTTGCTCAAACTCATGTCCAGTGAGTCAGTGATGCCATCCAACCATTTCATCCTCTATTGCCCCTTTCTTCTCCTGCCCTCAATCTTTCCCATCATCAGGGTCTTTTCCAATGAATCAGCTCTTTGCATTGTGTAGCCAAAGTATTGGAGCTTTCAGTTTCAGCATCAGTCCTTCCAAGTGAATATTCAGGGTTGTTTTCATTTAGGATTGACTGGTTTGATCTTGCAGGCCAAGGGACTCTCAAGAGTCTTCTTCAGCACCACAGTTCAAAAGCATCATTCTTTGGTGCTCAACCTTCTTGATGGTTCAACTCTCACATCCATATGAGACTACTAGAAAAACTATAGCTTTGACTATACAGACTTTCATAAGCAAAGTGATGTCTCTGCTGTTTAGTACACTGTCTAGGTTTGTCATTGCTTTCCTTCCAAAGAGTAAGCATCTTTTAATTTCATGGCTGCAGTCACCATCCACAGTGATTTCTGCAGCCCATGGAAATAAAATTTATCATTGTTTCCACTTTTTCCCCATCTATTTTTCTTGAAGTGATGGGACTGGGTGCCATGATCTTAGGTTTTTTAATTTCAAGCCTGCTTTAACATAAATGCAAACACCCTAAACACTGTGGTAGCAAAGTGAGTTCATTTTTCTTTAAAAAAAAAAAAAAATCATCACCAAGTGGGATTTATTCCAAAAAAGCAGTTTGGCCTTTAACAATAGAAATTCTGTGAAATTCACCATATTAAAAAATAAAATCACATGTTAATTTCATTAGGTAGCTCAGCTGTTAAAGAATGTGCCTGCAATGCAGGAGACCTAGGTTTGATTCTTGGGTCGGGAAGATCCCCTGGAGAAGGGATAGGCTGCCCACTCCAGTATTCTTGGACTTCCCTGGTGGCTCAGCTGGTAAAGAATCTGCCTGCAATGCAGGAGATCTGGGTTCAATCCCTGGATTGGAAGGAGGGCATGGCAACCCACTCCAGTATTCTTGCCTGGAGAGTCCCCATGGACAGAGAATCCTGGCATGTTATAGTCCATGGGGTTGCAAAAACTGAGTGATTAAGCCCAGCACAGCTCAATAGATGCCAAAGAAACAATTAACACAATTCAGTACCCATTCAAGAAAAACAAAGTTCTTGGTAAACTCACTGGAAAAAATCCTGATGCTGGGAAATATCGAGGGCAGGAAGAGAAGCACGTGACAGAGGATGAGGTGGTTGGATGACATCATCAACTCAGTGGACAGGAGTTTGAGCAAACTCTGGGAGATGGTGAAATACAGGGAATCCTGGCATGCTGCTGTCCATGGGGTCTCAGAGCTGGACATGACTGAGCAACTGAACAGCAACAACAAAAAACTAGAAGTAGAAGCAGGTTAACCCATTCAGAACATCAAATATATCTGTCTGTCTCCCTTCATCCAACTAAAGGTCATGTTCTATAGCCACACTAAAGAGAAGACACTAATATGTTTGTTTGAGCAATGCCTTGGGGATGATGGCACTGACTTGGAAGGAACCAGGGTCATTGAATGTCCAAGAGGAGCAGACACATTAACGTTAAACACAATTTCCAAACACATTAGTCACATTTAAGCAATTTTGTTCTTTAAGCCACTGATGGCTATGACTTTTTGTTGTAACAGTCTTACTCCTACTGATCCAGAAGACGGCATATAATGTATAACAAGAGAAATTTCATCTGTGCAGAGGAACAACATGTTGATAATCAAAGATGACCAAGTATCAAAAGTAGTTTACCTAGGGAATTATAGACTGCAGGTCTTCATGAGTAAGATTGAATTGTCTCCCCATGGTGATACAGGGGAGACTTGCTTACAGTTTAAATTCTATTCTGGTATTTGCTAGAATAAAAATCATTGTTTTATTTTGGTACACATCACATTACCAAATGTTAGTGGCTTTAAAAATGTTCAGAACTGCTGATTCATGTGTTTTGATAGATGGGCTTTAGCCATTTACATTTATCATAGTTACCAAAATAGTTGACTTCATTTATTACATACTTCTTTCTCTTTTTTTCTCTTTCCCTACCCTCTACTGGATTTAAAAGACTGATTTCCTATCCCTCACTGCCCCCACCTGCCCCACTAGCTTGGGAAGATTTGTGTTGCATTTCCATTCTTTTTGTAGTCACTTTGAAGTTTTTGACATGCATTATACATTTTCCTATAATACTCTAAAGTTACTAAGTATTTCTCTTCTAAACATCCCTGCTTTAACCCCATTGAAGCCTGCTTTACGCACTGAACACCCTCACACCCTGCTTAAGGTAATCTTACCATCTTTTCCTTACAGCTTAGATTCTATCACTTTTTAAACACAGTTAATAAAGGGGATTTTGGTTTGTTTACAATTGATAGTTAATTAAATGTATTTATTTAAAATAAAAAAAAACACTATTGAAACAATTCTTGAGAATCTTTTCTGAGACTTTAAATGAGAACCCAGTGCCTGCCTCACACAGAGTAGGTGCTCAATAAAAGGAACCCACCTTTCCCCCTCCCAGAATAAACAGTTGTTTGTCTCTTTAACACTAGTCATGAGTGCTCAGTAGGCGTGGATTCCTCTGGGTTGGATACATTTCATGGACAGTTGGCAATGACCAACCTCTCCTTATGTTAATTTTATGAATACTGTATTTGACTGTGTGGCAAGCTAAATGATGCAGGAATAAATGTTCTCATTTCTGAGCTGTGAAGTGTTGAAAATAGATCAGAAAATAAAAGCAGAATGTCCACCCTTTGGGAGAAAAATGTCAGTCTGTGTTGCTGCCGCTCTCGGCTGCTCGTTGGAATGCAGCTGTTAAGGCAGCTGTTTAACTGTTTGCCCAACTTGAAAGGACACTCACTGCCAAGTGGCAAATATTTTTCATAGCATTTTGCTTTTGCTGAGAACAACAACAGTGCATTTTATTGAGCTCCAGCAGTGTGCCAAACATGACAGATTTATAACTCTGCAGGTTCACAACCCCGACTGAACATGATGCTCATTTGCATTTTTAATATTTATAAAAAGAATAAATAGGCTTCCAAAGGTAGCCTCTACACACAAAAAACCCTCTATATCTCACATATTTTTTTGAAAATCCAGCAGATTAACTTGAGGAAACACCTCTGAAAATGAATAATGAAAATCTTAAAAGGAAGATTTAAAGATTTTAAACTTCTTTCAGGTGGCCCAAGATTAACTTTACCCCCTTGTCCAGGACAGATGAGTGCAGCAGTAGCAGAGGAAACACGTCATCTACTGAATCTCTTGCAATTGATGTGTCTCATTCTGGGTCATGAAGTTAATCTTATGTTGCTAATAAAAATATTGACACTAAGTACTTAGCATACAGTTGTATTGAATCTGACAAGCTGTGAACTGGGGTGGTGGTGGGGAGTAGGGGGTGGGGTGCGGTTATCAACTATTGTATTTATAAAAGCTATAGGACAAATATAAGCATTTAAAATTAAGAAAGCACTTTCATATACATAAGCATGATTTTCTTCTGAGTCCAAAAGTACATGGATGATGATCATGTTATACAGCTCTCCACCCACAGTCTGTTCCCTCTGGTCAGAAGCTCATGCCTTCAAAAAAGTTATGGAGATATGCTTTAGGCATGTAGAGAGATCCTGTACATACCTATTATTTGTTCCAGCAGAAGTGATAGAGAGCAGAAGTGACCACCACTCAAACATTTAGTGTGTAAGCCCCACAAGCCTTAATGAAGACAATGGAGGTCAGGCAGGGGAGATCCAACCTCATTTAATAAATCCTCACAATCAAAGCTGGAATAGAGATACTTCTAAAGGTGAACTGGGCTGAACAAAGATGATCAATGGAGATATAACCTATATTTTCTCTACTATTTACCAAACAGTGATTAACTCATAAATGATAGTCTAATCCAGCTGTTTCTTCAAATTACAAAAGCATACATTTCCACAAAGTTGACATGATTTCTTGGACAATGATAGACAAAGTCTCACACACTGGGTAATGGTCACCAAGGGAATCGGCCACGAGTTTTGTGCTCTTTTTTTCAGGGATCGGAAAATTAGTAATTGCAAACCATGGATGAAATTTATAAGACTGCTTCCACAGAAAGGATCCAGGTGTTGGAAAAAGAACTGGCTATGCAATTGACTGAACTGAAGTCTGAGATAGAAGAACAATGGACTCTCCAGGGGTCAGCTCATCAAACTTACAGGTGAGTAGTGGCAGTGTGAAGGCACGGTCTTCAAGAGCTTCAACCCCTACTCACATCCCATAATCTCCATCAGAGCCCCCCTCTCCTTTTTACTTGGACAATTGGCATCATCTCAAGCTCAGGCTTGACTGCTGCCCTTAAGGCTTTCCTATATTCTAGAATTGTCAAGGCATTTAGAGGCAATGTTGCTACCAAAGAAAATGAAAAAGTGCTCTTCTATCTCATACATATCATTGTCTTAAGATTCCAGAAGCTATTATACAAACCATAGTCAATGAAATCTTATTTTCTCCAATGATATTTTAACTGAATTTGACTTTGATTTTGATGAGAAATTTAAAAATGAAAATAATATGAGGTATCTGATAGTGAATTCTGCAAAATGATGTTCTCTTAGGGACTATTCTATAGGTAAATGCTGCCAATGATAGCAAACAAACTCTTTAGGTCATTCACAGGCACTTTGAGGTTAACTGAGAGGAAAGGCATGATCTGAGCAAGAGACGGTCAGAGAGCTGAGCCCTGAATCCCACCCAAACTCCCAGCATGCCAAAGAATTAGAAGACAAGAAGGCAGGGAAAGAATGGGTTTCTTCTGTTTCCCTGACTGCCTGTTTAGTAGCTGATCCCCTTTCTAGGTGGTTACTTGTTTTCCATTTCTGTGAGGCTGTAGCCAGGATACAGGTACCCAGTAATCACAGAAATTACACCTTTGATTTATGAATGCTTTTATCCTCAAGTCCCTTTCAAAACTTATATATCTTTTTTCATCAAAACCAAGATGTGAGGAGATAAGAGAAGGCATTATTCCAACTTCATTTGGGAAGTCAACACAGCTGGCTCATGGGTTGCTTAGTCCCATGTGATTGAGAGGCCTTCTGACTGTCAGCTGGTGTTCCTTTGAGAAACAGGACCATGATGCCAGTGGGGTGAACTGCTGACAAGTGTATAAACTAACAATCTATTTTCATCTTCCCTTAAAACTTATCCATGGAGGACTGGTAAATGGTCACATGAACAATATTAATCTGAACTTTACTGACTACAATCCCCTTCAAATCTCGTTTCTCACATGTATTCCAGAACTCTCTCCTGTGGGCCCCTTGCCAGTGTTTGCAGAGTCCCATCTTAATAAAGGAACATTTTCAGCATGGTTTTAATGTTCCCAAAGCTGCCAAGCCCTGGGGTGTATGTTACACCCAACGGGGAGAGGGCCCCTCTTTCTGACCCAGGGTCCCACCTCTAATCAGGCCCCAGGGCAGTGCTTGTACTTCCTTATGTCAGAGTCCCTGGTTCAAACACCTTCCTCCTGGTTAGGCTTGGACAACAGTCAATGAGAGTGCCTGAGCAAGCACTTCTGCAGTGTGTTTCCTAGAGATGAATAAATTTTTTGAAGCAGAAAATTTGGTTAAGATAATTTCCAAAGTATTTCATGTTTGATATTTAAGGATCATTTTCACCCTCCAGATAACTGAGCTAGAACACAAAAACATTTTGTTTGAATAATACTGATTTTATGTGTCAAATAAAATAGATGAGATAGAGGTCTGATAAGCACAGTAATTGTTAGAAATGAGATTACTGAAGGAACTATGGGTAGGGGTAAGAAACGTCCTCACCACTGTCTCTGTTTCTAAAGAGAAAAGTTGGGGTAAAAGGAAAGACTGTGTATTTGTGAGCAGAAGGAGAGGACAACTGGCCCAGGTTAAGGTTTAACAAGAGTGAAGTATACACAAGAGAGGTTCTGACTAAGACAGAAGCCTGTGGCCTTTACATGCCACCAATAATCCAGTATAATATATTTATTTAGAAATGAGCAGTTGTGGAGTTGCGGATTAATCAGGGCAGGTGGAAAAGTGGGTGACGGAGGATGAGATAGCATCACTGACACAATGAGCATGAGTTTGAGCAAACTCCAGGAGATAGTGAAGGACAGGGAAGCATGGCGCCCTGCAGTTGCAAAGAGTAAGACCTGACTTAGTGACTAAACAATAGCAACAGTTTTTAATCTGATTTATAATAGCTTCTATAATTACAACTTCTAAAATTTTCTGCAGCTCTGTTCGAATGCCAAAGGACATTTCTTACTTTAGAAGAGAAAGGGAACTGGCCCTAAAGAAAACTTTACAGGTGAGTAAAACAATGGGCTATTTCAATACAACAGTAAATTAGAATTTGCTAAGTTGTTGGAAACTTGACAAGGAGAACTTCTTTTTGTAAACAAGCTGCTGGTCTTATTGACAGTGTTTACAAAGAAAAAACTTTCAGCTCACTGCTGGACAAGAGGCCAATCCTTTGGAGATATCTGATTTTTGTGGAGTGTTAACTTTACAGTTCCTTGCTTTATGATGTTAAAAATAATTATTTGAAATCTTAGGTATAACAGCATAACATACGAAAGCTATCAGAAACTGTGTGTCATTTCCTGTCATAGACACTGATTGTTTTGTTTCCTTCTTTCCCTTTGCTTGCTCTGTTCTCTGGGGTTCAGGTGGCCGAGTCAAAGTCCCTTGTTATTCAACCAGATGTCATGCAGAGGGAGCTAGAGAGCTGCCTAAAGAGAGAGTACACTCCTGAAAATTTACCTTTGCTTCTGTTGCAGGTAAGAGTCATTTTGCAATTTGAAAAGCAGATTTGAAATTTAGTAGAAATGTATGCACAGAACTGGCTTTCTGGTATGTCCTCTGGCCAGGGTACAATCTTCTCTATATGTATGGTTTGAAGAATTTGGTTAATATAAATGCTCTTCTTTGCTAGAGACCCATGCCAAACTCCGGGAAATAGTGAAGGACAGGGAAGCGTGATGTGCTGCAGTCCATGGGGGTCACAAAGAGTCAGACATGATTTAGCAACTGAACAACAGCTACAACACGCCATTTAAATTCGGCTTAGTTAGTTACAGCCACTAAACAATTGGCACAGTTTCTACTAGTTACTCCCTGTGCTGATATTATGAAGCAATGTAACATTGACTAAGATAGTTGCAGACCTCAAAAACTGTTGGCTCACCTAGGGAAGATATTTCTGGAAATCTCTGTTAAGAAAATAACTCACAACATGGGGAGTGAGGGGAAGATATTCTGTAAAGATCATTATTGCAGCATTATAATAAAAGTGAAAAAATTGGAGTTGCCTAAATGTCTAATAATAGGAGAGTTAAGAAAAACAGTATGGGGCGGGGGGAGGCAAGATGACGGAGGAATAGGACGGGGAGACCACTTTCTCTCCTATAAATTCATCGAAAGAACAATTGAACGCTGAGCAAATTTCACAAAACAACTTCTGATCGCTAGCAGAGGACATCAGGCGCCCAGAAAAGCAGCCCATTGTCTTCGAAAGAAGGTAGGACAAAATATAAAAGATNGTCTTGTAATTTTTCTGAACACTGGGCATTGCAGTTTCACATTGCTGAATGCTGATTTTTTTTTTTTATATTCCTTTAAAGATGTTATACTTCATTCTAGCAGGCAATTAAGTTATAGATCAGTTTCACACTTACAAAGCTTGGTCTTGAAGCTTTGCTATAGCAGGTTTAGAGTAACTTTTACTCCAGACGTAGTTTATTCTTCTTACTAAATTGTCACCCCTTTTGTGTCTCTGCTAAATGCCCCAGGTATTTAGTGAGGACTCTTCGCTCTGTCAGATTGAAGCTTGAACGTGTCCTAGTTCTGTTTGAACTCTGAGAAATGTCCAGTTTACAATTCCCTAGTTTGCTATTCTTTGCACACCCTCAGGGAGTTCTACCCTCTGCATGCAGTGCTTAATAGTCAGCAAAGAACTCAGAAATCTCTGTGTAGGTTTCTGGAGCCCTTTTTCTGCATAAATTTCTCCTCTCCATTACTCTGCCCTGTGAACTCCAGCTGACTCAACTTCCCAAACTTGATTTCTCTATCCTTAACTCAGAGAGACCATCATGCTCTGATTTCCTCTTCTGGTTCAAAAACTGCCTTCTTCAGACAGAAAACCGGAGCTCATTTCATTTGTTTCCTTTCTCTGAAGGACAAGAGTCCTGCATTGCCTGTTGTTGCATGTCAGAAAACAGTTGCCTTGTGTAATCTGCCCTATTTTCTAATTGTTTATGATGGAAGGGTGCATCTGATCCTACTTATTCCATCATAGCAGTATCATTTTTATCAGAAATAAAATTTTTTAAGAATTGGCTTTTTTGACTGTACTTACATATAAGTAAAATTCTAGATCTAAGGTTAAAAGCTATAATCTCATTTATAATGTTTTTTGTACTTTAGATTCATAAACTTCAGTTTTTAAAAAATTTTAAGCTTAGCTTTAGATAATTTTATAGGTTTTTATGTCACTGTTAAAACTTCAACAACTGTTAGATGAAATTATAATCTGTTGGACTGACAAAGTACCTATTTAAATTTGAATGGTATATTGAGCCAGGTTTCTTAATTTTATGACCTTCATGTAGAAAATATTGATAGATCCTTCCAAAACAGCCAAACTTATTTTGCTATTATTTTTGTTCTTAAGGTTTAATCCAGTCTTCCTGTGGTGTAGTTGGTAAAGAACCCGCCTGCCAATGCAGGATACGTGGGTTCAGTCCCTGGGGTGGGAAGATCCCCTGGAGGAGGAAAGGGCAACCCATTCCAGTATTCTTGCCTGGAGAATCCCATGGGCAGAGGAGCCTGGCGGACTACAGTCCATTGGTTCACAAAGAGTCAGTCACGACTGAGAACACCCTTCCTTCTTTCCTATTATAATTGTATTCTAGTTAATTTTTGTTGTTCTTGTTGTTAAAGCATTATACAGAGAGAATTACCCAGCTGGCCCAGAGTAAATATTTACATATGCTTAGATGGAAGAGATTTTGCCATCACAGTAAGATCATGGAGCAACTTTATCCTTTTTACAAGGTAGGAAGCCCATGAACAGAATCTATGGGCTATTTTCTATAATGAAACAAAATGGCCATTAAGCTTGTCAATGCTATTATTTAGTATAGTCATCATGCCTGTTCATTATATCTCTAGACTTATTCATGCTCCATAAAACTGTTTACCCTTTGGCCAACATCTCCCCTTTTCCCCTAAGCCCCAGCCCCTGGTTACCACTGTTCTATTCTCTGCTTCTCTGAGTTCGACCTTTTTTTTTTTTTTTTTTTAGATTCCACATAAAAGGGATACCACACAGTATTGTCCTTTTCTCTGTCTAGCTTATTCCATATAGCATAATGTCCTCTAGATTTATTCATGTTTTTACAAATACTAGGATTCCCCTCCTCTTCATAGCTGAATAATATTCCATTATATGTATTTTTACCACCTTTTCTTTATCCATTCATCCATCAACAGACCCTTAGGCTTTCATATCTTGACTATTATGAATAATGCTGCAATGGAATGTTGAAATATAGATATTGCTTTAAAATACTGATTTTGTTTTCTTTGAATATATACCCAAAAATGGGATTGCTGGATCATATGGTATTTCTATTTTTTTTTAATTTTTATTTTTAATTGGAGGATAATTGCTTTACAATGTTGTGTTGGTTTCTGCCATACAACAATAATCAGATATAAGTATACATACTCCCCTCCCTCTGGAGCCTCCCTCCCAGGACCTCATCTCACTCCTCGAGGTCATCCCAGAGCACCAGACTGAGTTCCCTGTGTTATAAACAAATCCATTCTCTACATTTTTGTCTTTATTCCTGCCCTGCAAATAGTTTCATCAGTACTATTTTTCTAGATTCCGTATATAAATATGTGCATTAATATGTGATATTTGTTTTTCTCTTTCAGATTTAGTTCACACCGTATAACAGATTTTAAGTTTGTCCTCCTCAGTTAAACTGACTCAAATTTGTTCCTTTTTTAATTGGCTGAGTAATATTCCATTGTATATATGTACCCCCACTTTTTTTTTCCTTTCTTTTTTTGTTGCCCTTTTGGTTTGTTTCCTTTTCTTGGTTTTTTTAATTGTTGTTGCGTTGACCTTTGGGGTTTTTTTTTTTTTTTTCATTTTTGTTTTTTTCGGGTTTTTTGCTTGTTGTTGGGTTTGTTGGTTCTTTTGTTGTTTTTTTTCTTATTTTTAAAGGAATCTCTGTATTTTTCTCCATAGTGGCTGTTATCAGTATGGTAGTTCTATTTTTAATTTTTTGAGAAATTTCTATACTGTTTTCATATTATCATTATATGCACCAGTTTACATCTCCACAAAAAATATATCTTGTCACTGTTTTAAGTGCTGGTTAAAGATGGGAAAGGAACTAATGGATGCCCTTACTTGCCATTTCTCCCTGTGGCAGAAGATAACAGTACTGTTTTTAAGAATGAGATTTGAGGGTGGCTTTATATTATAGAAAATTTATTTTTCTTCATAGGCTATAGCTAAAAAATCTAAGAAGCCAACTCCAGTTACTAAATTTCCTTATGCACTGACTCTTTGCTAGGGTCAGTTTCCTTCAAAGTTGTGAGAATATGACTGATTGCTGTCCTTATCAGTCAAATTCAAAATATGGAAGAGTTTTAATATTACAAGAGCTTCTTATTTGGCTCCCAAACAGTAATACACTATACTTGGAAGCAAATGACAGAAAGAATAAGGCTTGCAAATCATCAACTTCTGTCTTTGTATCTCTCTTAAACAGAAACAAGTTGTCTACATTATGCAGGAATACAATGATGCTCTTCAGAGAGCTGATCGATTGTCTGTTGCCCGAGAAAACTTCCTTATGGGAAAAAAGAATCCTCCTAACTTAGTGACACAGGAAGACCTGACTATTTACACAAATTGGTTAGTGTGTCACCTACACTCGCTCAAGATTATTCACCACTATGTGCAGGTACGTGAAACAGTTATATGGTGATGCATTGCCTTCCCAGGACGGTCAGGACATTGCTTTCTTCACACCTGTCACCTAATTTGGGGTTGTCAGTTTCTGTATTCCATCTGCCTTACAAATGACAGGAAAATAATGGGTCACTAGCTTTTCTCTTTGAGACCTTTGAAACTATTTTTCTTTAGAATCTTGCTCTAATGAAATCACTCCATTTAGCTTTCCCAAAGATGTCTCTGTTACACTACTTTGTATCCACTCTATGATTTCTTGTTTTCACCTTCTTGTTCTGGATTTATGCTCTCTAATGTAGATCCACTTTTTAAATTCAGCAATCCCTAGTGAGGGTCTAACTTATGCCAGGGACATATCCTGAGCCATGTGGGAGTATATAATCTTTGCTGATGGTGAGGGACAGGGAGGCCTGGCATGCTGTAACCCATGGGTTCGCAAAGAGTGGGTTGCGACTTGGTGACTGAACAGCAGCAGGAAAATGTGAGTCACAGGATGATAGGAAAAAGGGCAAGCAAGTAGTTAACTTAAATACAATGTGATGAGTATAATCACAGTAAAGAGAGTCACAGAGGAGAGGCCCTACTGCAAGATACAGGCATCAGAAAGGAGTGATGTGACCACATTCTGTTTTAGAAAGATTGCTGTTTTGCCACCTAATTTTTTCTTACTCTGCTACACCTCATCTTAGTGATACCACCAACCATGACTCCTGGCCATCATCCTGACATCATTCCTTCCCCAATCAGTCACTGTGAGGTCTACCTCTGAATCATCTCTCCCCTGTTACATGGCATAGTAATGATCTGCTCCTAAGTCCTGATCCCCCACTAAACTCTGAACTCTTTGAATTTGGTCCATGTCTTGCTTATTTTTGTGTCTCTAGCACCTCACATGATGCCTTGCTCATTATGGGTCATTGATCAAGGTAGGCCTGCCTGGATGTTAAGGTCACTTAGAATTGGTAACAACACAGGGTCCCTAACTCCAGATTTAGCCCCTCATGATTGAGCAGATTACTGAGGCCCACCTCCACCTCCTTCCTCCCCTATCAAACCAAAGGGCTGCTCCTGAAACAAAGTCTGGAAACTTCTTTGAGAACTGAATTGACACATGACCCCTTGGTTGTCCCCTTCTGTAGGCCCTCCAATATTTACCCATCTCCAAAGCTCTGAGTGTAGCTGTTGATGAAGTCCCTGAGGTTGTTCAGGAAAATGAAAAGGTTCCTGTTGATGACACTGACCCTGACATCCAGGGTTATGCATCTCCAGACTCTATGAATACCAGTGTTTCAGGTAAGAAGTCTTCTTTCCCCTTGGGAAATGTGGAGAAAAGATTGTGATTTTGCACGTGTGCACCTGATCTTGCTTGAAATTTTTCTATGTATCAAAAAATTATATCTTTAAAAAAAAAATTGGCCATGCCATGCAGTCTACAGGATCTTAGTTCCATGACCAGGAATCAAACCTGGGCCCCAGTGGTGAAAGCACCAGATCCTAACCACTGGACTGCCAGGAAATTCTCAAAAGTTTTATCTTCTTAATTAACAAGTGTTAATCTAATATTTTCTGGTGGAAAAAAAAACACTTCTCTTAGAAATTATCATCTCCATCTTTATAGCTAGACAATTAAGAGAGGGGGGAAAAAAGCAATAAACTTGAAGTTGGGAGTACTGGACTCTAGGCCTATTCTGTGTGGCCTACACTGTGAGTCTATGTTTAAGTCATTTCATCTCCATGGGCCTCAATTTACTCATCTCCAAAATAAAACTTTTAGATTAAGTGATCGCTAAGGTCACCTTCATTTTTTTCCCCAGGGTTGAAAACATTTCATTTCTTTTTTTTTTTAACATCAAAAACATTTTGTATTGGGGTATAGCCAATTAACAATGTTGTGATATTTTCAGGTGAACAGTGAAGAGACTTGGCCATACATATACATGTATCCATTCTCCCGTCAATCCCCCTGCCATCCAGGCTGTCACATAACATCGAGCAGAGTCCCTTCATTTTTGATTTTACATGATCTTTAAAGACTTCCCTTATCTGAATCAATTTAATAGTCTTCTTACCCTTACCTTATGTTACGGATGACTTAGAAATCTGATCAGGTTTTTACTCTGAGTGATGAATTTACCAGTTGCACCTGGAGAGGCAGCCAACCCAGTTGTGGGGAATCAGAGAAGGGAAGTCCAATGGGAAGTCCAATCTGGGTGCTTAGAGATGAGTAAGAGTGAGCCAGGCGAAAGGAGGTGAAGGTTCTCAGCTTCTCCTGATTTGTTTGTTAACTTGTAAGTCATATTCTTTGTCTACCCCAAAGGACTACAGATAGTTCTGTTCTCACTAAGTCATTCCCCAGAGGGTCTGTTGGATTTCTCCGCAGGCTACAAGAAGGGGGAGTCCTGGCTACCTCCCCAGAAAACCAGCACCATGAGTCTGTCCCATAGGCCTCGCTGAGTGTGTGCAGTCTGCAAACTGTGGCAGAGAGGGCTGGGCATGCAGCAGAGTGGCCCTCACCATCCGCGGAAGAGGCCCTGGCTTCAGTTTTCTCAAAGGACTCTCCTTTTTCCCTCTGAGACTGGTATTCATTGGTGTTAATGCTCTTCATTTTGGATATTTTCAGGGCCAATGAGAACAGAAACTGCTTTCGTTCTGCCCCAACACACAACAGAAACAGAAGAACTGAAACCTCAGCTGAGGCTGCTGCTCTCCCATTTCAATATCTCATATGACGTGGAAGAGCTGAGGGATGCTTCTAAGGAGACAGAACTTTTTGCCTTGGTACTTCATGGATTCTTTCTTAATGCAAATATAGGTGTTCATGAGAGAAAATACTAGTATCTGCCACGAAGTTTGATATTCACACTGCCACAATTGTTTCTACAGTGATAAAATATAATAGTAATAGGTGAGATTTAGACTAGCAGTTTAACTTTCTCTCTGTTAGAATTTCGAAACCCTTGAATATCCAACCCAAAGTGATTGTAGGATTATTTTTCTACAGAAAGAAAATGAAAAAAAAAAAAAAAAGAAAAGAAAATGGTAGGTTGTAGTCCATAATAGATGATGTAAATATAGCCAAGATTTGGCATTTTTTAAGTATAGAGTTGTCTATTGTCTAAAGCCCTTTGATTCTCAGAAAGTCTACCAATAGCTCTTCAGTTAGCAAAATGCTTTATATTCAGTACAGTGTATATTGTGTAGTGATTTTTAAAGTCAAGCAGTCATAGTCTGCTATCTCATGGTGTTGCACCTCCTTGAATAAAAAAATCATATTATCAAAAGCCATATTAGAACTTGTTTCAAAGGGGGAAAAATAGGATTATACATAGAGAACCTCAAATTTACAATAATAAACTTTTTAGCCAGAGTTTCAGCAAAGACATTTTTCTAGATCTGGGTGTATAATATTTGTAAATGTATGTATTTGCTAGGTAAAAATAATAAGTTGATTAATTCAAAAAGGCAAAGATCAAACCTGTATGTTTTTGAATACCCTTTGTGTAAGAAGGAACGACTTGCTTACTTACTTACTTACTCTATCACCATTTACTTTGACCTGGAAGTTTCACATCCATGTGTATTTGTTCCAGCATTATTTTACTTGGATTATTTCTATTATTATGTAACATGGACTCTTCAAGCTCACTGGAACCAGTGGTATCACATGTCCTCCGGTTTCTTTGAAGGTGGTTATGTTTAGCTTTTGTCTTTCTTTTCATATCAGCAGCAGCACTTTCTTCAGCAGAGAGTGCTTCTATGGGAGTATCCTCACCCTCATTCATTATCAGCAAGTATTATGATAGACCCAAACCAGAATCAGAACAAGAGGGTGTTAAAAAGAGTCCAAATAAATATAGATAGGTTATGGCACAGTGATAACAAAAGAACTTGAGGCTGCAGTACTCTCCCACAGAGCAGCCTCCTCCCCAAAGAACAGCTTGTCTTCTTCACATAGAGTTTCTACTTTTGATTTTCTTGTAACAGTATTATGTGCAGTGCTAATTGTACTCCCAAGATAATCACATTACAACAAGTTTTTTTGTGTAGAATGAATTTCTATAAACAGGAAGAGTGTTTATTTTGGTTTTCCAAAACCCCAGAGCAGGGTCAGCAAACTACAGCCTGCAGCCCACCTCCTAGTGTTTGTTAAAGTTTATTAGAACTTGTTTCAAAGGGGGAAAAATAGGATTATACATAGAGAACCTCAAATTTACAATAATAAACTTTTTAGCCAGAGTTTCAGCAAAGACATTTTTCTAGATCTGGGTGTATAATATTTGTAAATGTATGTATTTGCTAGGTAAAAATAATAAGTTGATTAATTCAAAAAGGCAAAGATCAAACCTGTATGTTTTTGAATACCCTTTGTGTAAGAAGGAACCACTTGCTTACTTACTTACTTACTTACTCTATCACCATTTACTTTGACCTGGAAGTTTCACATCCATGTGTATTTGTTCCAGCATTATTTTACTTGGATTATTTCTATTATTATGTAACATGGACTCTTCAAGCTCACTGGAACCAGTGGTATCACATGTCCTCCGGTTTCTTTGAAGGTGGTTATGTTTAGCTTTTGTCTTTCTTTTCGTATCAGCAGCAGCACTGTCTTCATCAGAGAGTGCTTCTATGGGAGTATCCTCACCCTCATTCATTATCAGCAAGTATTATGATAGACCCAAACCAGAATCAGAACAAGAGGGTGTTAAAAAGAGTCCAAATAAATATAGATAGGTTATGGCACAGTGATAACAAAAGAACTTGAGGCTGCAGTACTCTCCCACAGAGCAGCCTCCTCCCCAAAGAACAGCTTGTCTTCTTCACATAGAGTTTCTACTTTTGATTTTCTTGTAACAGTATTATGTGCAGTGCTAATTGTACTCCCAAGATAATCACATTACAACAAGTTTTTTTGTGTAGAATGAATTTCTATAAACAGGAAGAGTGTTTATTTTGGTTTTCCAAAACCCCAGAGCAGGGTCAGCAAACTACAGCCTGCAGCCCACCTCCTAGTGTTTGTTAAAGTCAAGTGTTATTGGCATACAGCCATGCCCTTTCATTTGTGTACTGTCTATGGCTGCTTTCACACTGCAACCGCAGCACTGAGTAGCTGTAACAGAGACCATGTGGTTTGCAAAGTCTAAAATATTTACCATCTGGCCCTTTAAGAAAAAGTTTGCCACTCTAGCTTAGACTGGCACCATCTCACTGAACTTTGTGCACGGATGGGTATGATCTGTGTCTGTCTGATGTGGTAACCACTAGTCACAGGTGACTGTGAAACATTGGGTAGTGTAAACAAGGAACTAACTTTTATCTAATTTTTATAAATTTGCATTTAAATGTTAAATAGCCACATATGGCCAGGAACAATAGTATTGGATAGCACAGCCTGGAAAGTACCAGCATTAACTGGAAGAATCTTTAGCTCTGTGACTCACTGAACTTATTCATTCCAGAAACTTTTTTTCAGGCCCTAGTGTGTGCCAACACTGTGTCAGGTTCTCTCTATATATATAATTAAATATACATAAGATTTACCATTTTAACCTTTTCTGAGTGTACAGCTAAGTGGTGGTAAGAGCATTCACACTGTTTTGCAACCATCCCCATGGGATAGATTCTTGAGATTCCCTCCACAAACTCTCCTTGCACTGAGAAAGTCATGACACAGGTGGCCAGTGCACTGATGAAGGCACTTGCACAGGCTTGGGAGGCCTGGGTCTGCCCGAGAAGGGAGGACGCAGTGTCTGCATCTTAGCAGTAGGCAGGTATATCATAGAAAGCACTGGCAGCCTCAGTCTGGAACTGAGATGTGAGGGGTGTGACTGATGTACTGTAAGGAGCTTTAATAGGTCCCAGCATCTGGACTCGTCTCTCTAGCAATATCCCGGTCAGGCTTCTGGGAGCAGGATTTATCTAACCCTTAAATTTTCTCATTTACCAGGTGGTCAGGAAAAGGGAATGTATTCCGAAAGATAGTCTACTGCCTGTTGAGGGTCCATTTAAAAATATATATAAATAAATATATTACATTATTTCCAATCTTTGGAGCAGATATTCAGAACAAGTAACACACACATGATTATAGTAATAGGCTGACTGAATGCATGTGCCCCTCAGGTATTTACATTTAAGTCCTATTACTGTCACAGAATCATGTTTTATAAAATAGTTTGACTCAAAGACCCTTTCAGAGGCAGTCTACCTATTCTTGAAATTGCCCCCAGTCTGAATCTGTTTTTTTTTTCCCCTGGGCTTCTCTTTTCTCAATCCTGTTTAGGTTTCCCAAAAATTTCAAAGCATCTTCATGGAGCAACAGAGAATGCAAACGTTTCCAGACTATAATGTTGGGATAGCTAAATTGGAAAATTTGGATTTGACAGGACCTGGTAGGGCCTTGAAAAAGAGAGCCAACTGGACTTCCTTTATAAAGGTAAGGAGCCCTGTGGTGACGGACACTTTGAATGATGTCAGCCATGTCACAAAGTGTCTTCCAAGGAGGCCAGACGACCTGGCAGCATCAGGTCTGTCAGATGCCTGTTATCCCCTCTCCTCAATGCCCTCAGCAAACACTGCCCTAGGAGCAAGGGTAGGTGCCTGCCTGACTTAGGAGAGGCGGCTTAGAAAACCTGGCTTGTGTACCACCATCCCCCAGCTCCTTCCTGCCTTGAGTCGGTTGAAGTTAGCCAGGCTGATCTACCTTTTCTGGAAGTTCTCGAATATTCCTTTGCCCCTCTCTATTGAGTCAGGACTCCTTTCTTGTTGTTAGTGACCTGGGCTACTTGGCAAGAATAAAGAACATTCAAAATTATGACTGAGTTGTGTAAATCCAGTTTTTTAGTCAAAAACTGTTTACTGACTGCATTCTGCATGTCATACATGGCCCTTCATGCTAGAGATACACAATTCAGTTATTCAAAAGTGAGTAGCTTAAATGAGCTGATGTGAGATTGTGGTAAATACAGTTGATTCTTATTGTTTGGGGGTAGTTATGTTCTGTAAAGTTGCCACGAACGCTGAATTAACAAATCCTCAACCACTGCTCATAGGGGAAATAAAAGGTTAGGTTCATCAATTGATCAATACATAACTAGTTTTATATGTGTTTCTGTTTGAAGAGACTTTATTCAATATATGTTGTTGATTCATTAACATCAAACTCATGGCCAATAGCGCTATAACTCATACCTGAACGAAGCTTTTTGAACACCTGTCCTTCTGTAAGACACATCACAGCCTTCCTACACTTAGGAACACTAGACAGCTCTTCAGCCCCCTGTTGGAGGCCATTTTAAATAGTGAAATTACTAATGAAAAGCACAAAAAGTATAAAAACCTGGCACTAATTAGGCCATAAAAAGAATATTTGTTTGTAGTACACACTCAAATAAGTAGTAAATAGGTGAAATATCACCTTGTTTGTCCTCAGCTGGGAATGTGGGATTGGGCGACTTGAAATTTTCACCATTCTGTGCGTGTCCATGAATATCCAGGAAAGTTCTGTATTGATTTGGGGATAACAAATTTCAGTGAGTAGGCAAATACAAAATACAAAATCCATGAATAATGAGGATCAACTGTGTCATGAAGGAAACATCTTATGTGATAAAAATGGATAGAAGGAAAGCAGAGAAATCACAGATTATTCCTAAATCTGGGGCTTGAGCAAATAGGTGGTTGGTGTAGGGAAAGCCGGACTTTGTGTTTTAGATTATTATACTTGCCATTCACGTATAAATATCAAGGAGATAGTTGGATATAACAGGCTGGAGCTTAGAGCTAGATCTAAATTTGAAAGTTACGAGTACATTGAAGTATTTATAGCCATAGAACTAATTTTTTAAATACAGCTTGTTAATATGAAAGGTGAAGTTTTACATGTGGAGCCACAAGGAGATTTTGTGGGCAAACTTCTCTTGCCCCATAAAGTTAGTGCAGTGCCCAACACTGATGGATTTAGGGTCCCTTTTGCCAGCAAATGGTGCTGTGTCATTCTAGATGGAGCTACTGCATCTCAGGCCAGGTACCAGCAGGAACTGCTGTTGTTCTCTCCCTCCACAGATCTGAGAATCCACATGGACCCTTGCCAAGACTTCACATGCTCTAGAAAACTACCTAGCACTGAGGCCAGATCCCATTTCAGAAAATCCTTGGTTCTCTTTATTTGCAAATTTTATTGAGAACAATTCTGTTATATTTAAGTTTGTGTGTACGTGTTTGTCCACTAGATTAAGCCAAAATGTGATCCTTGGCAAAAGAAGCTTTTGACCAAGCTAAAAGAACGGAGAAGAATAGATGTATTAATGCAACTCCAAGCAAAGTTTCTGAAGGTAAAAAAGTAACCATGTTTCCTTGTAGATAAAATTCTGGTCTCAGAAAATTGAATTCTTTCCATTTTAGCCAAATATTAGCCATGGATTCACTATGAAGGCTCTATTTGGAAATTGTCTAGTTGCCAGATTTTATATCCTGTTAGCTTTCATTAGTGACAGTTGTCAAAAGAGTTGGCTTTAACACTAAGTCTCTGTGTGATATTGCTCTAGTCACATAATCTCTTTCAGTTTCGTTTCCTCATTGTGAAACCAAACTAGTGGACTAAACATTGAACTATCTTACTTTTACTGTGGTAAAAAAAAATATACACACATAGCATAAAATGTATCATCTTACCCATTTTTAAGTGTATGATTCATCAGTGTTCAGTATATTTCACAGTGTTGTGAAGTAGATTTCCAGAACTTTTTCATCTTGCAAAACTGAAACTCTCTGCCTACTAAACAACTCCCTATTTCCTCTTCCTCCCAGCCCCAAGCAACCACCATTCTACTTTCTGTTTCTCAGTTAGACTACTCTTAGATACTTTATATAAATAGGATATACAGTATTTGTCCTTTTGTGCTGGCTTCGTTTCACTTACCAGAATGTCCTTAAGTTCATCCACCTTGTAACATGTGACCAGATTTCCCTCCTTCTTGTTTTTCATGAACATTTATATCAGCTTTATTCACAATAACCAAAAACCGCAGACAACCTGGATGTCCTTTAGTGGGTGAATAACCTGAAGTATGTTCATACCATGAAACAGCAATCAGCTATAAAATGGAACAAACTGTTGATAGACCCCAAAACCTGGATGAGTCATCAGAGAACTGTGTGAATAAAAAACTCAGCCTCCCCCCCAAAAAAAAACTCAGCCCATAAAGACTCCATGAGTCCATTTATACAACATTCCTCAGTTCAGTTCAGTTCAGGCACTCAGTCATGTCCGACTCTGTAACCCCACGGACTGCAGCACACCAGGCTTCCCTGATCCATCTCCAGCTCTGGAAGCTTGCTCAAACTCATGTCCATCGAGTCGGTGATGCCATCCAACCGTCTCATCCTCTGCCATCCCCTTCTCCTCCTGCCTTCAATCTTTCCCAATATCAGGGTCTTTTCCAATGAGTCAGTTCTTCACATCAGGTGGCCAAAGTATAGGAGCTTCAGCTTTAGCATCAGTCCTTTCAATGAATATTCAGGACTGATTTCCTTTAGGATGGACATTATTTGGAAAAGTAAAAAATCTGACAGTTGAGGGAAAGAAAAATTCCTTAAGGTTTTGAAGCAGAAATGAATAAAAGACAAAAAGGAGAAACTTGATTCTTTCCTTACTTTTTGAATCTCTTTTATTTATAATAAAATGGGGAATTTTTTTAAAGCTGAATTTAGCCCCAACTCTTCTATAGTACCTTTTCTTTCTTTTTCTTTTTTAAAGAGCAATGATGTAGTCATTGGCATGGCAAATGCCAGTTTCTGTTTTAAACTGTCCAGTAGTTTCAGCTCTTGAATGCATCTTCCAACAATTATTTTGGTTTATTATTATTTATTATATGTATTATTGGAAAACACCATGATGTTGGGAAAGATTGAGGGCAAGAGGTGAAGGGGGTGACAGAGGATGAGATGGTTGGATGGCATCATTGACTCAGTGGACATGAGCTTGAGCAAACTCTGGGAGTGAAGGACATGGAAGCCTGGAGTGCTGCCGTCCATGGGGTTGTAGAGTCAGACATAACTGAACAACTGAACAACAAGTGTAGTTTTGTAATATTAAGTTATTTTTTGAAGGCAACAGAAATAAAGGCATTGATTTAAAATGCCTATTCCCTTATTTGGATTTCTTTTTTTTTCTTTTTCATTTATTTTTATTAATTGGAGGCTAATTACTTTACAATATTGTAATGGTTTTTGCCATACATTCACATGAATCAGCTATAGATTTACACGGGATTTACACATCCCGCTCTCCCCTCCCGCCTCCCTCCCCAACCCATCCCTCTGGGTCATCCCAGTGCACCAGCCCCGAGCACTTGTCTCATGCATCCAACCTGGGCTGGTGATCTCTTTCACTCTTAGTAATATACATGTTTCGATGTTGTTCTCTCAAAACATCCCACCCTTGCCTTCTCCCATAGAGTTCGAAAGTCTGTTCTGTACATCTGTGTCTCTTTTTCTGTTTTGCATATAGGGTTATCATTACCATCTTTCTAAATTCCAT